ATCACATGTCATAGTTGGGGGCGGAACATTATAGAGGATGGCCTGAATGGAGCAGATCACATGTCATAGTTGGGGGCGGAGCATTATAGAGGATGGCCTGAATGGAACATATCACATGTCATAGTTGGGGGCGGAACATTATAGAGGATGGCCTGAATGGAGCAGATCACATGTCATTGTTGGGGGCGGAGCATTATAGAGGATGGCCTGAATGGAGCAGATCACATGTCATTGTTGGGGGCGGAGCATTATAGAGGATCGACTGAATGGAACACATCACATGTCATAGTAGGGGGCGGAGCATAATAAAGAGGGCGGCCTGAATGGAACACATCACATGTCATAGTTGAGGGGCGGAGCATTATAGAGAGGGCAGCCTGAATGGAACATATCACATATCATAGTTGAGGGGCGGAGCATTATAGAGAAGGCGGACTGAATGGAACACATCACATGTCATAGTTGAGGGGCGGAGCATTATAGAGAAGGCGGGCTGAATGGATCACATCACATGTCATAGTAGGGGGCGGAGCATAATAAAGAGGGCGGCCTGAATGGAACACATCGCATGTCATAGTTGAGGGGCGGAGCATTATAGAGAGGGCGGCCTGAATGGAACATATCACATGTCATAGTTGAGGGGCGGAGCATTATAGGGAGGGCGGGCTGAATGGATCACAGGAGAGAGAGAGGCCAGGCACAGCTGCTCCCCCCCCTCTGTGTATTGGGGTCTGTTATATAACATATTTCCTTTCATTGGCAGACATGTTGAAGGCGTTTGCCTGCGACCACTTCCGAGCGTTCCTCTATTACACGCACAGCATCCGATCCCCCGGCGGCCTCTTCAGCTACCCCTGTGACAGCTACGAGCATTTCACCTCCGTGAGTGCCACTTACTGCATTGCAGACAGATTGCACCGTCCCATGCCACGGGGCTTTCTTTCCAAAATTGTAATGAAGTTTTATTTAATGTGATGTAATCCCTCATTGTGGCCACTAGGTGGAGCCGAGGAGCATAGGCAATAAATGCTTTTTTCCTGCTCACCACAGCTCCATCTAGTGGCCACCATGAGGGATTACATCACATTCCACCTGAAAAATAAAATACACACTATATTACCAAAAGTATTGGGACACCTTTACACGCACATGAAGTTTAATGGCATCCCAGTCTTAGTCCGTAGGGTTCAGTATTGGGTTGGCTCCGCCCTCTAATGGCATCCCAGTCTTAGTCCGTAGGGTTCAGTATTGGGTTGGCTCCGCCCTCTAATGGCATCCCAGTCTTAGTCCGTATCCCACGCTTTGCATTGCACTTGGTGATGTGCGGCTTGGATGCAGCTGCTCCGCCCCCATTCCATGGAGCTCTCTACGCACTGTTGTTGGGCCAATCTGACGGCCGCATGGAGTTTGGAGGTCTGTAGCTATTGGCTCTGCAGACAGTCGGCGACTTCTGCGCACTTCAGCATGCACTGACCCCGCTCTGTCATGTGACGTGGCCGACCACTTCCTGGCTGAGTTGCTGCTGTTCCGGGTCGCTTCCACTTTGTTATAATCCCAGTAACAGGCGACCGCGGCGGAATATTTAGTAGCCGGGAAATGTCACGGAACACCTGAATAAAATGATTTGGAGGGGGAGGGGCCAATACTTTTGGTAATTTAGTGTGAATAACAACGTTCATTTTTTGCCTGTATTCGCTCAGCTCCATAAATAGGAGAAACTTCCAGAAAATAAATCTACATTTGGATTTAAGGTGGAACTCCGGGCAAAGAGCTAAATCCACATATAGGAGATATATACATCACGGGGAGGCCACTCCCTACATTCCCTCCACTCATCCCTATTCTCCAAAACGACAAAAACAAATCCCGATGATTGCCCTGTGATGTCATTTCCTGTGAGGAGCGTCATATTGCTATAGTTGATGGTTGTGTCTTCTTCCCTCCCCCCCCAGGGCTCCTGCTTCCCCTGCCCCCCCCAGGGGTGCCCCACTATGGGCTATCACTCAGAGGACTATTACAACATCACAAAGCAGAAGAGGAAGTTCTACCTGATCACTGGTGGGGACCCTCCAAACTTCTCCAGTGAGTATTGGCGGAGGACCGCTGGGGCCAATTGAGGGGCAGCTTGGGGGTTCCATGTGAGGACATCATTGAAAGCTCCTCCTCCAGGTGGAGTCGTCATTGAAAGCTCCTCCTCCAGGTGGGGACATCATTGAAAGCTCCTCCTCCAGGTGGGGACATCATTGAAAGCTCCTCCCCCAGGTGGGGACATCATTGAAAGCTCCTCCTCCAGGTGGAGTCGTCATTGAAAGCTCCTCCTCCAGGTGGGGACATCATTGAAAGCTCCTCCTCCAGGTGGAGTAGTCATTGAAAACTCCTCCTCCAGGTGGAGTCGGCATTGAAAGCTCCTCCTCCAGGTGGAGTCGGCATTGAAAGCTCCTCTTCCAGGTGGGGACATCATTGAAAGCTCCTCCTCCAGGTGGAGTCGTCATTGAAAGCTCCTCCTCCAGGAGGGGACGTCATTGAAAGCTCCTCCAGGTGGGGACATCATTGAAAGCTCCTCCAGGTGGGGACATAATTGTAAGCTCCTCCTCCAGGTGGAGTCGTCATTGAAAGCTCCTCCTCCAGGTGGGGACATCATTGAAAGCTCCTCCTCCAGGTGCGGACATCATTGTAAGCTCCTCCTCCAGGTGGAGTCGTCATTGTAAGCTCCTCCTCCAGGTGGAGTCGTAATTATAAGCTCCTCCTCCAGGTGGAGTCGTCATTGAAAGCTCCTCCTCCAGGTGGGGACATCATTGAAAGCTCCTCCTCCAGGTGCGGACATCATTGTAAGCTCCTCCTCCAGGTGGAGTCGTCATTGTAAGCTCCTCCTCCAGGTGGAGTCGTAATTATAAGCTCCTCCTCCAGGTGGAGTCGTCATTGAAAGCTCCTCCTCCAGGTGGAGTTGTCATTGAAAGCTCCTCCTCCAGGTGGAGTCGTCATTGAAAGCTCCTCCTCCAGGTGGAGTCGTCATTGTAAGCTCCTCCTCCAGGTGGAGTCGTCATTGAAAGCTCCTCCCCCAGGTGAGGACATGATTGGAGTCAATGTTTCATGCTGAAGCTCTGAATCACGTCCTGACATTCCTCCTTCTCTGCAGGTTGGAGATATAAACTTTCAGTGACATTAAACGGGACGGCAAAAACATTTGATAAACTCTTCATATCGCTCTATGGTGCCGGCGGCAACGTGGCCAAACACCAGCTGGGGAGGTAAGTCACCGCGGCTCTCACCATGAGGTGACAACGCTCTGCCCTTGTTCAGGCACTTCCTCTTCTATGATAACAACGCTCTGTCCTTGTTCAGACACTTCCTGTTATAGGGTGACAACGCTCTGTCCTTGTTCAGACACTTCCTGTTATAGGGTGACAACGCTCTGTCCTTGTTCAGGCACTTCCAGTTATAGGGTGACAATGCTCTGTCCTTGTTCAGGCACTTCCTGTTATAGGGTGACAATGCTCTGTCCTTGGTCAGACACTTCCTGTTATAGGGTGACAATGCTCTGTCCTTGGTCAGACACTTCCTGTTATAGGGTGACAATGCTCTGTCCCTGTTCAGACACTTCCTGTTATAGGGTGACAATGCTCTGTCCTTGGTCAGGCACTTCCTGCTATAGGGTGACAATGCTCTGTCCTTGTTCAGACACTTCCTGTTATAGGGTGACAACGCTCTGTCCTTGTTCAGACACTTCCTGTTATAGTGTGACAATGCTCTGTCCTTGCTCAGACACTTCCTGTTATAGTGTGACAACGCTCTGTCCTTGTTCAGACACTTCCTGTTATAGGGTGACAACGCTCTGCCCCTGTCTCCCCAATTGTGGTCCTGCATTGTCACACAGGCTTCCGATGGAGGCTACAAGTCGCCGTTGATTGGCTGCAGTAAAATATGAATTTATAAACCTCCATCGGAGTTTCGGTCAGTGGAATGTATTTGTCTTTTCCCTCCATAGAGGTGGTCGGGTCTCGGAGAACGCCTACTCCGGCTTTATCGACTCCCCGGTGATGCTCCAGCCGTTGCGTCATGTGACATTTTCCTGGACCCCGAAAATATTCAGCATCAGCATCCTCCAGCTGGGGGCGTCCAGGACGGACGTACAGAGCGGAGACGATGGGACCACGTAAGCCGCGCACAATCTTCTGCACAGGAAGGGGAGGGAGCCGGGAGACGTACCACTCTCTGGTCTATGTTGCCGCTCTCTCCAAATGATACGACTTTCCGTGTTTAGTATCGCCGGCATTACGAGGAGCCAAAAACCCTCCTGAGATCTGGCGTGATGGCCGGCGGAGCCGCCCCAGACCGGTCCATACCTCCCAGGGGGCTGTAGATGTGGCGGGTCCATACCTCCCAGGGGGCTGTAGATGTGGCGGGTCCATACCTCCCAGGGGGCTGTAGATGTGGCGGGTCCATACCTCCCAGGGGGCTGTAGATGTG